CAGAAAAATCAGGCCAGTTTGTGCAAAGGCTGGGGCTTGGCCAAGCATCCAGAGCATCCAGCAGAATGCAGCACCTCTGCTGTGGTGCCTGCTGGTTCTTCACCAACCTTTCATCTCTCTATTCAGTTTTAAATTGCCCAGGACAGAGCTCACCTCCCTGCCCAGAACTGTCTTGGCTGGATCCTGCACAGTCTGGGCAGACACAGACATTTTAGCACCACAGAGCAGTCATAAGTCACTGCACTGGATAATCACTTTTAACTCTGTGCAGGCTGAAACCAATTCTCCCAGGTCCTGCTGCTGGCAGGAACACCCTGCTGCTGAACATGCATCTGATTACAGTTCTGCTCAGCCAAATATTCCTCATGGCTTCTACAGATGTTCTTTTTTTTTTTTCTTTTTTTTTTATCCCATAACTATGAACATTATGAGTCGTTGCTCTCTTCACCTGCCACTTTTCTCTGCCAGCAATCTCAATAAAACCCCATTAGCTCATGCCTTTAACCTCGGCACGTCCTAGCTGCGCTCACTACATCTCATCTGGGATAATTTAAGGTTTCAGGAACTGTTGGCTTAGTGTTATCTGTAAAAATACCTCCCTCCCTGATACCATCAGAGGCTGGGAGGCTTCGAGCAAACAAAGGCAGCTGAGCTGTCCAAGCTCCACAAGGTTTCCACACAGTCCTCGTTCAGACTCTCGTGGTGGGCTGGTTGCAGTTGGATGCCCCAAGGAGCAGCAGGTTGGGGGCTGCAGGTTTTGGGACTTCTCTCACAGAGAACCTTAAACCCAACAGAGCTGTGCCAGTCCCACCTGGAGAGACCTGGGTCTGGGAGCACTGATGAGCAACTACTGAGTTCCCTCAGTCAGGGGTGGGTTGAACTCAGAACTTGGGTTTGGGGCCACGTCACTGCTCCAAACAATCTGGGGCTGTGCAGGACACGCAGAGAGCTCTTGGTGCAGTGCCAAGGACACTGAGCTCACTTTTCACCTCTGCAGCAATTCAGGACACCAGGAATGCATCAGGGCACAGGGCAGGAAACATATCTGGCCTTTATTCTTATTTTCCACATCATTTTGTGGACACAGGAAGGCAGCTTCAAATAAAAAAAGCCCAGGGGCCGCATTAAGATAAGCTGATCTTTCCTGAAAGCTACTATGAAATGATGACAGATACCACAAAACATGACTCGTCCAGACAAGCAGTCAGCACACAGAGACAGAGGAAGGAGTCTCCCTCCTCACCCCCTCCCCAGCAGGTCACAGTGTTGGGGGGTGAGGTAACCCTCACTCACAGTCCTTCCCATTGCAGCACTGGATGTGTCTGTGTCTCCACACACAGGACACTGAACAGTGGGAAGCTGATGGATGACACTCCTAGGGAAGGCTTTAGGATGTTTAAAGGAACGAATGCTTTGCTCCAGAGCCCTCCAGCTTCTGCTCTTCTCATGCTCAACCCTCACCACACCTGACTCAAGCAAACGTGACCCATAGCCAGGCAAACTCTCTGCCTGGTGGGCAAGTCCAGAACCTGCCTACTGAGAGGACTAAATGTAACAGCACAAAAGCCTTTCAGCACCAGCTACAAACACCCACTGTCCTGCACCTGCCCTGAATGCTCCCTGGCATCCCAAACAGGGTGAGCAGCCCTGGCCAACTTGCCCTACTCCAAGGAGCGAATCACACCCATGTCAGAGCACGAGCCAGTCCAGCATGGAGCTACTGGACTTCCATATGTGAGGAACTAATTAACACATTATGCTGCAATGGGTCAGGACTGCCTCCAAAACGATCAGCTCTGAACAGATTCCATGCTAGGGAAGTTAAGTTCTGCTGTCAGTGGTGCTGTCAGCTCTGTGCTCTCTGGTTTCCCCCGTGGGTCCAGACACGCCGGCCGAGAGCAGTGGGGTCCTTAGTTCTGCCAGCTGAGTGCTCCCACTGCACCTCACAAAGAGACACTCAGGGGCTAATTTGCTTCTCTTGCTTCAGTTCTTCCTCTGGGGGAGCTGTAGAGGGAACATCCTCCTGAGCTCCCCCAGCAGCCCAGCAACGCCTGAGCCACTGCTCCAACACAGCTCCAACAACAGCGTGCAGTTGAGCTGCAGGAGGAGCACAAAACACCCAAACACCCCTGATCTCCCTGCACACACAGCCCAGCAACACGATCTTGATGCTCTTTACAGACAAGATCCTTATCTACTATATTTTCATCCCCCTCAAGCTTCACATCCCTGCTGTCAGAGCTGCAGCACCAGCGATTTTCCTCCTAAAAAAAATAATCCCTTCTAATTAAAAGCTCTGAGTCCCATAATTACTGCTTCCACCATCAGCACAGCTGAAGGTCCAAAATGTGCTCTGCCAGGGCAGAGCAGGGGAATAAAAGAAGTGAAAGCAGCTTACTGAGAGTGACGGTGTCGTTGATCCTGAAGCTGCAGAGCACTCGGTCAACGTTGCGGGCGTGTCGGAATCCATTCCCTCTCACCACCACCTGGAAGGACTCTGCAGGGAAACAGGCACTGGGTTACTGATACAGAGCAAGGCAAGGAAAGGTCATTTACACAAGGCACATCTCCAAAGTTTTCACTTGTTATCCCTAGAGCTCGCAGTTTACCAACTTTTCAGTTTGAAAATGGTTAAAAATTGAGCTTCCCACTCTCTCCCTACCCAAATTCGACTGGAATTTTTACAAACAGGAAACAATTCACTACAGAAACATTTCTGCAAACAGACCTGCAGTGAAAACAGGGAGCTTCAGGGACACTGAGCTTTGGCCTCCCCAGGTGGCCACTTCAAATGGCAGAAAGTTTGGGGTGAAGAAAGGCAGAAGCATCTTTCCATGGAAAGGAAAAAAAAAATAAATCTTCTGGTGACAGATAACTTGGAGAAGTTTAAGTGTTACTTTCCCAAAATCGTGTCAGTTGCCCTGAGCTGTGTCACGTCCTGCCCTACTGCTGTACAACAACCAGGAGGCCTTGACTGGACTCATTTCCACAGTGACAGGGGTTTATCAGCGGATCAGTGTTTCAGTCTCTGGACAAAGACTGATCTCGGAGTCTGTGGGCATTTCCCCGAGTCTTCCTCTTTGCTGTTCTCCCAGATCAACTCCAGGGGTCCAACAGGGACCCAACAGGGTTGCCAAGGGCTGTGGGTGCCAGCAGGGAGCACCAAGGACAGTCCTGAGCCCTGAGCTGAGCGGTGCCTGTCGGAACAAGCAGGGCTGAGCGATGAGGTCACACCCTCCCTGGCCTTTCAGACCACTCTCTACCACCCCTTGATATCCCAGTTACTTCAGCCTAGCACTGGGAAAGCTTTATGGACTTCCTGCAGCCCCCAGCACGAAGAATGCCTTGCAAGGAAAGCACCACTTCAGACTCTCAGCTTTTTGAGTCGGGGCCACGGTCCCAGAGCAGCGCTGGCAGCAGATGCAGGGACGGGGCTCTGCTGTTCCCCACGGCGAGGAAACAGCCCCCACAATTCCTGGGACTATCTGGGAGAGGCACTCAGCTAATCCCCACTGAACCCTGGCTGGGGAACGTGATTTGAACACAAAATGTTTCGCTGCCCAAGACAGGGCAGGAATAACCTCAGCGCTCCAGGGACACCACCCCGGTTTGGAGCTCCCCAGGAGCACCAAGGAACCGAGTTTTTTGCAGGCTCAGATTTTTCCCCTTTGCCTTTTGCAGTCCCTATCCCCTTTCATCTCCCCCAAGGACCCGTGCACTGTACTTGTCAGAAAAAGCAGCTTTGCTCTGGAATCTGGGCTCTCTTCCAGGTCCCACTCGTTTACAGCCAAGCTGCAAATCATCCCAGCACATCCAGCCAGGGAAGCTGCTCACAGGCCCATTGTGTGTTGTCTGAGAGCATTTGGGAAGAACAGGGAGGGGGGACAAGAGCTCTGTTCTGCAGTGTGGGGGCTGGTGAATCCTTAAGAGAAATCACAGAAGTCTCAACTGCTGGGGAATGAGAGTTCAAGTACAGTCAAAGAACTGTATCAGTGATGTCAGCTGGGCCATGGGGACCCTGGCTCTGCTTGAGGCTGAAATGAACCATACAGTTCACCCTGCAAAGCCAAATCATCCAGAAACTGCTATTCCAGAATGATGAAATTCATTCCTGCAGTGTCTGGGGCTGGTCAGCAGCACAAGAGTGGCCTCAGGTAACACAGAGCCCACATTCCCTCCTTGCAAATGAAAAAAAAAGGAGGAAAAAACTGCCACCACTCTCCAAGGACGTGCACAGAAACACAAAAACATGAGGTATCACAGCTACACCTGCAAACATTTATTTTAGAGACACTAATGCACATAATTTTCATAGTCAATGGCACTTTCATTGCTCTCAGAGCCCTGAGAGATTAAACTCCCTGCAGTCTGAGAGCAATGGACTATTTGCCCAAACTTGGAGACCAGGCCTTGAATGGAGGATCTAAGTAACTGCTGGCATTTTTCAAGGATAACATTGCTCCTCTTGTGAAGTACTGAACAATTACTGATGTGAATTGTTTATGTTAAACCTCTCTGCATTTCCTCTCCGCTGACTCTGCTGGGTGCAGCTGTACCCACCCTGCCTTCCCTAAGGCACAAGGAATGGGAGCCATAAATCAACTGACAAAGCATTTAAAGATGGCTATAAATGATGATTATAAGTCATCTCCTGGCTCAGGACATCCTATAAGCAGCAATGTTTATCACTTGAATAAAACAATCTTAAAACAACCTCCGAGAGTATAAAGTGGATGTGAATGTTCCTGCAATTTCCTTTCCCTTCCCAAGCATTTATGGGACATCCCTCCACCACCCAGAGACACAGCAATCATCCACCATGCCAAGGTAGACAGGACCCTGCCTTGGAGCCTGTTTTAACACAGAAACTGGTTAACTGAACAGCCAAAACGATGCTAAAGTACCATAATCCATGGCAATTATGCCAGCCTGGCTTCAGAAACCCAAAACTATGAGGCACATATGGAACATAAAGCTGGTGCCAGGTACTGATTGGGCATTTAGCCTGCTGTGCATCTGCTGGGAAAACGTGGCCACTTATGGATGTTCAGGTGTGCAGGCAGTTCCTCCAGGGACAGGATCATTAAAGCAGCTGCTTTGGAAGTGAAGAAAAACAAGCAACAACTGTGTTTACTTACTTACAAGGTAGAGAAAGATGCAGAACTTGTCAGGGACTTGTCCTGCTCTACAAACCTCAGCTGGGCTCCCAACCTCTCTGCTCAGTGAGTGCTACACATTCAACAGACAGTTGGGAGGCACCTCAGAAACTGTGAAGAATTCACAGAAGTTGATGGAAGAGGCCAAAATGATTCTCCAGCTTGGGTTGGAAAGGCTTTAGAGCCACAGTCAGGTCAGAGCAAGGACAAAGAGAGGACAGGTCTGGCACAGCCCGAGTAGGACAGACTGCTTTGACAGAAGAACATTTATGGAAAAGTAGGGAATTCAGGTCCTTTCTGTAAGAAAATCCTACTTGACATCGTTTGGTAGAAGTGGGAGCTGTGCAAACTACTCTAAGATGAAAAAGAAATGCACCAAAAAAAAAGGCAAAAGATTCAGCCCCAGGTGATCAGTGACTTTTGCACTTTCCAGCAATTAGGGATGGACTGAAAATTGTGTTTTAGGCATCAGGAACGACTGTGGCCTCGGTTGTACTTACCCCCTGCACAGATACTGGAAGGCTCTGCTGCCAGGATTTCTATGCAGGATTTCTTCAAAATCTAAAAGACAGACAAAATGTCATGAAGCACCTGAGACATGTTGCTCCAGGAACACAGATCTGAAAGTGTGAGTGGGTGAGTGAGTGCTCTCATTCTCACACCAACGCTTAACCCAACCTTGCAGTCACACCTCCCTCTCCAAAGCTATTCTGGAGCCCAACGCTGCCAGTGAAACCCCCCAGGTTTAGGCTAAGCTGTTCAGCTCTGCCTTCAAACATCCCAGCAATATCTGCAGAGCCGCTTCTCGGGGCTCAGCCACAGCTCCTTCCGCTTTTAACCTGATTTATAAGAGCACGCCTGGGGGTGTCCTCGAAGCTGCTTGTGGTTTCAAATCAAAAGCACAGGCAGTTGTTGAAGCAGCATGTTTGTGGAAGGGTTCTCTCTTCCTCTGACCATGGTACGTGTAGACAGTGATTTACACTTCGGTCCAGGCTCGGCCAAGCGCTCAAAGGCAGGAGGAGCCGGCTGGGTTGGGCACTGTTTATTCCCACAGGGTGCTGAAACCGCCCCAGCTGTTATCTGAGGCCTTTGCCCCGCTCTGAAAACCAATTCCAGCTCTTCAGTGCCCAGCAAACCCGTGCTCTGTGCGAGAGAGCAGAACCAAGACCTGGGGGGGGGGTCCAGCTGAGCAGCCCCTGACTGAGGCAACGCTGATCAAAATTCAGGTCAGCTCCAAGAGGCAAGGAAATGTCAGCCAAGCATCATGACTCAAATCCAACATGAAAACTATTTTCCCAACTTTAAATTGAAACATCTGTAAGGAAAGAACAGCAACCAATACAATAAATTCCGTAAGAAAAAGATAACATTTTTTTTATTTTTCCCCCTCCACAGTCACGGCTTGCTGCCTCAAATACCTGATTGCAAAAGGTGCACAGAGAGCCAGCATTTGGTTTTTAGAAGTTTTAAAGAGAAGACTGAATTACTCAGAAGCAGGGCTGGTAGAGACTGAGAGCACCAAGGGACTGAAGGAGGCAGGACTGTCTGAGCTGGTGGCAGGTGAGGAGAGAGAAGATTTGCAGGAACAAGGTTATACAGGAACTGTGAAGTGGAAAAACAGAGAAAGTCAACAGTTGAGAACAGAAATGAGAAGCACTAGAAGAATCTGAAAGGCAGAATAAGGAGAAACACGAAGAATGTAAAATACAATCAGTACTTTTCTTTTTTTTTAATCGAGTCAAACCTCACAGGATTAAGTTTGAGATTCAGGAATTCTGCTCAGCAAACATTTTGCAAACATTCCTGCTGTTGCCCAGCTTGGATGGGGGGTGGAATAGCAGGTGTCTCAATTAGATGAGGCAGATCTCCCAGTCCAGTCCAATCCTTTTACACAACCATAAAAAACTGGCCTTAATGGCTTTTTCCAGTGCCAACTGCAATATTTATTTTGATTTAGATTAAGTTTCCAATGCTCCAAGCACCCACCCTAACTTAAAGTGAAAATCAGGCAGCAATGACTATTGCAAAAGAATTCCTTTATGTCTCTTCCTCATTAAAAAATACATCCAGGAAGGATTTGAGGGCCTTCACTGTAGAAGATTTCATCAGGTCTCTTATTTCCTGAGGGGTGCACAGCCTTGAGGGCTGGAGGTGCAGCTCATCCCCTGGGAATTTGCATTCCCAGGGAAGCAAATCTCATGGAATGGGATGAAGTGGTGATGAGATCTCCCAGGGCCCATAAACCACCCCGACAGCAGACTGGGGGACCTGACTCCACATCCCCACCTTCACAGGAACACCCACCAGAGCTCTGGGGGACTTGGGAAGCCCCTGCAGGAATCAGGCAGCTTTGTCCTGGCTCCCACATGGGGAATTTGGGGCAGAGCTTTGTGTGCCACAGGGAGTTCTGCCAGGGTAGAACTGATTTTAGCACTGCCTGTGACTGATTTACCTCTCTGCCAGCAGGTCACCTGGGCCCCCTGGAGACAAAGGGAAGGAGGGGAGGGAGATTCTGCAGCTGCTGGAAGCTTTCCCCTGCTGTTCTGCTCCACAAACACACAGACAGATTATTTCACCACAGCAGCTGCATATTTCTTAGACAGTTTTTTCACCAAATTTGAGACTTCTCATTAGCAAACAGGATGCTGAAGTGTAATAGAAGGTCACTGCCTAATTAGCATTAGTGGGAATGACCTGCAGTCTGAGGCCAGGTACTCATTAGCAGGCTCTGTTCAATTACTGAATACCAAAGTCTGTTGCCAATTATAAAACAGCCATTTATTTACGAAGTGTTTCCTGTCCAATAACATCTACATGAGCTAAGCAAAATAAATACATTTAAGTCCCTTTTTAAAGATGCTTTTGGGGGAAGAAAGAAGTAGAGAGCATGACTATATACCATTAAAACTAATGAGAAGGACTGGGGGTTCACATCCTCTCCCTGGGATGGGTAAGCCAAAAGGCTCCAGTTATCAACTTGCTCTTTGGCCTGTGCAGAAGGTCTGGCTGTGACAGATTAAGAGCATCTTGCAAAGGAATTAACTTTCCCTCATCTCTTCTCCCCCATTCTGGGGGTCTTAGCCCTCTCCCTGTGCACCAGGGAATCTACAGTTTATCCCTTTGCCAGTGAAGTTCGAGCATCCAGCTCAGGATGGGCACACAAAACCATCACCACATCTCTCATCCCTTGCCTGTGAGATGCTCACACTGAGCTGTCCCCCAAGTTCCCCCCCTGCACATATCCAGCACTGCAGGGTGCCCCAGGAAAGGTTTGTGTGACACCAGTGTTCAGGGCCAGGGTATTTGCAAGCTCTGATTTCCTGGGGTGAAGGAGCACATTGACCTGTGTCATCAGTTCTGAACTGCCACAGCAGATCCAAGAGCTGAGACAAGTCCTGAAAAATACCAGGGGTAGGTGGTATATCCTCTGCAAGAGGGTCCTAAAGGACCACACAGGGAGTTAAACTTAAAAGGATGAATCATTTGTACAGTTTATAGAGACAGGGGACAGTCCCACCAAGTGGTTCATTCTTCTTCCTTCCTCCTCCATCACAACTGATCCAGGAGAATTCCTGCAGCTCACACGGGCTCTTTGCTGAGGGACCCAGGATTCCACCTGCGAGGTGAGCTCCAGGCTGGTGCCAGGGTTTAACACATGCCAAGGATCAGGGAGATTTCCTGACTGCTCCTCAGTCAGCTCCTGCTCCGGGCTCGGAGCAAAGCCCCGGCAGGATCCCATCCTGACTTTCGTGTTGCTTCACGCTCAGTGCCTCCAGCGCTCCTGCCAAGCACACACTGAGCAGCAACTGAAGCTGAGTTTCAGGCTTTCCTGCAAAGATTTGCTCCACTTGCTTTAAACTGACAGGTTATGATCTGCACGAATTTTTCACAGCAAAGGAAGATTTAATAAATTACTTCAGCTCCTTCCCTGAGTTCCCCAGCCTGCAGCAATCAGTCAATCTGCTCCTCCACCAGATTGTTCTCCCCTGACAAACTCAAAATCCCCCATTAAACAGGCTCCAGGGTGGAGCCACAACTTGGTGGTGCCTGGAGGAGACAAGACCACACTGAGCAACATCTCCTTGCAGCTGCTCCCTCCAAACTGCCTGGCTCCCACAAAAAAAGGAAGGGCAGGTGCATGGAAACATCTGCAGCCCCACCACCCCAAACAGCTTTGCTCAGCAGATTGAGAGGCCCAGCTGAGGCCAGTCTGGAGCTCCACCACTCCCAGCTCCCACCCTCTGCCTCATCCTGGGGGGACTTCAAATTCCCAGAATCACAGAATATTCGGAGTGGGAAGGGAGCCCACGAGGATCATCAAGGCCAGCTCCAAGTGAGGGGCTGAGCCCACAACCCTGGAGTTATTAACACCAGGTATCAGCATTAGGCTCTGACCAGCTGAGCTGGTCTCCACTAGGGTTGAAAAATACTTACTCCTGAGGACAAGGGAGGAGGGAACAGTCAGGGCAGTTCACACCAAAGCCCTGCAGTGTAAAACCAACCCAGGTCTTCACACCTTTAGAGTAAATTCAAGCACTAGTCCCCACAGGCTCCTCATTTGATCTTTGCCCACCCTGTGATAACCAGCAGGTTGTAGCCCAGTCAATCCCCTCTACAGTGGCTGAGCATCCTGGCTGTGCCAACTCTTACACAGGAACTGAAAGAAGCTTCCAAACCCCAGGGCCCTTTCACTGTTGACATCTTCCCTGTGACCACAAATGCTCTGTTTGCTCCAACACAGGGATGCTTTTGGCAAGGACAAGGAAAGAAGGAGTGAAGGACCTTATTTTCCAGCTAGAACAGGAATCTACAGACTGTTTGTTATTCCACAGAGTGATTAATGTCCTCCCTTGTCATTCCTTTTACACACAAAACCACTTCCCTTCTCCCCAGCCTAATGCAGGGTCTCCACTCGAATCCAAGGGATCAGGTCATGGATCCATCACTGTACAGTTGCACTTCCCTGTGACCCTCCTTCCTAGGGCTGGGAAATCTTGCACCAGTCAGCTCAGCTGAGGCAGTTCCTGACTGGGTTCCTGGAGGCTGAAGTCTTCCCTTTCTGTTCTGTGTAACTGGGAAGGGAGTCAGAACTGCTGCTGGAACTCATTAAAAACAGCTGCAGAGGGAATGCAGGGCCGGGGAGCAAAGTGGTTCTTGTTTTGTTGCTTTCTGAAGTGACATGCAACACCTGACTGTCCAAGAGAGCTGGGGCAGTAGATCCACGCTCAGACAGCGCCAGGAAAACCAATAAGCAAGGGATTGTATTCCATGTCCATGTGAGAGCACCAGGGAGAACTGAGCCTGTGCTGAGGGAATGGTTTTGCTTGGTACTGCACTGTCAAAATAGTGTGTAACCACTGTAAACAGAGAAATGTGAGCCCCCCTCCCCAGCTCCACATCCAGCCCTTCAGCTGGGTTTGATCAGCTCTTCCAAAGCGTGTCCTTAAACGGATTTCCCGTCCCTCGTAGCCACGGGAAGCCCCCTGATCAGCCCAGCCACCCGAAATGGGCCAGCTCTTCAACACCCCACCCAATCCCTGCAGGGAATGCCAGGAACTGGGAACAGGGAAACCTCCATCTAGGGAGGAGAAAACCAGCCCATCTGCCAGGAGGCTGAATGTGGAAAGCAGAGGCTTGGGGATTATTTTGGCCTACACAGCAGGATCCCCTCCCCCATTCCAGCAGGGAGATGGGGCAGGATGGAGATCTGAGAGTGCCTTGGGACAGGCTGAGCTCTAACACAGCCCTGCTGCCCCTGCCTGTGGCAGCCACGTCACCAGTTGTCACCATGGGCCCCTTCATCCACTCAGTTCCCTCCCACCAAGGAGGGAGACAGACAAGGATCATGTTTGGGCATATTTGAGTTGATAAACTCGACCTCCAAGTAGAGATTTGACTACAAACAAAGGTCAGCTCTTTGGGCTGAATGGTGAAGTGATTTTTCAAGCAGGTCCTTGTGAACACAGGAAAACCAAACTGCAAACATGTGATTAAAGGTACTTACAGAGTCTATGATCCCCTGAAGGGCTTCAAACCCGTCGTTCACTGGGAAGACGTGATCTTTGCTGTCGGCAATCCGAGCCAGCTGACAGAGCAGGGAAGGGAAAGAAAACAGAGATGCAAAGAATGACATAAATTAGCCAGCAGGCAGCAAATTAAGACTTCTCCAGACTCATCCACTTGCAAATAAAAGCCTCAAATGCTCAAGTACTCCGTGTGGATTGCCAGTGTATTACGGTTTATTAAGCAGTGAAAAGTTAATCTCTTTAGCCTGATTGATTTTAGAAAGGATCAGAAAAGGGCTTTTAACTTTGAAGGCAAGACTTCACGTGGCTTTCAGTGGTGCCCAGAGCCTTGAGTGCAAAAGCTGTCTCCCACATGATGGTAAAACACCCCACTCAGTAACTCCCCAGCCAAACCAGGCCATCAGCACAGGCAGCAGAACACTGGGACGCATTTAAACCAGGGAAGTAACCAGAATGATTCAGTATTTTCACATGTAGAGAAAGTTAATAAAAATGTGTTCTGTCAAAGGTTGGACTCGATCTTGGAGGACTTTTGCAACCTTCAAGATGCTGTCTATGATTTTATGAAATGGTAGCCCAGCCGGAGATACAGCCCTGGCTCACCTTGCCTGTCAGGACAGAGGTTTGACTGTTGGTCCCACACTCAAACATTAGAGAGCCAAAAAAAGAAGAAAGCAGGGACCTCTCAGGAGGTATTTTCCAAGTGGAAATTGAAAGGTATCAGGGGAGCACCCAGAAACCTCCATGACGAGGAATAGGGGCCTTCATGAGGTGGTGGCAAGGTGAGGGGAGCCAGGACAACACCTTCAAAGAGCTTCATGCAGGTCCAGTTGCCAATGGCAGACTAAGGGTTAAGGCCCAAATCTCAGCCCAGCTCAGCAGTAATGAGCTCTCCATGCATCTGCTGGAGCAGACTCAAGTTTTACTGCTGCAAGGCCAACGTTTGTTCCAGTAATTCTCTCCCCTGGCAGAGGGAACACCAGCCCAGAAGGCCTCTCTGGAGTTTCCTGTAGCGCTGCAAGCTGGAGGCAGCAGAGCAGCCACACATTCCTCCCTAAACCCCACGGGCTCCACCTTTCCAGCTCCTGTCACTCACAGCTCCCACTTCCCCAGCTGCCAACCTCCTGGTTTGCATCCAGAGAAAGACTCCAGGCAACTTTCCCCTGCCTGCTCCAAGATGGGCAGTAAAGCAGCTCATTCCTTGTTGGCTGAGCTGCACAAGCCTCTGTAAACCAGGATGTTTACAGTTTCCTCAACTCACTCCCCATGGTCATCCTCCTGGTCCATTCTGGGACTTCAGACACAGTCATCTAATTCCAATTAATTTCTTCAGCATTTAAAAGCCTTCAAGTAGCAGCTGTCTGGGCCCTGTTGCTTTAGATCTGGTCTCTTTGCCATTTTTATTCCCTCTCTGCTTTTTCTATGACTTACTCTGGGCTGCACCGGTCTCTGGGTTTGGTTCGAAGGAGGTTGTTCCAAACCAGGCTTGGTTTGACTCCTTTTCTGAAAGATGAAAACCTGGGAAAGCTCTTTCAGCCTCCACTTCGGGGCTGTGCAAGCATTTCACTCATGTCAGAGGAGTGTCAGCTGTTGGTGTGTGAAATACAATTCACGGGCACACCAACATTCATACGACAAATCTAGAAGTCAGACTATCAAATGGGCAAACAGAGTGAAATATTACTGCCACTAAGGAAGGTGTTTGCTTCTTACAGCACACTTTTCCCCCTGGAAGAAAACCTGGACTGGAGTTGAAGAGTTCTATGGCAAGAGTTGTGTATATGGGACAAGATGTCCCCACAGCCCACTCCTCAAGCCACACAATTTGCTCCCCTTCAGGTGTCTTTCCCTCTGCTTTTCTCCACCGTTCCCAAGAGGATCTGGGGGCAGGCAGAGGGACAGCTCTCCACACCTGGAGACTAAGGAAAAGAACCTAAACTCAACACCAGACCCACCACTGCAGGTGGGCAGTGGTTGAACCATCGACAGAAGGAGAGGAAAAGCCCTTGGGAACCTTGAGAAGGGGATTCAGGAGCGTGTGACCCTGTTCAACCTGCACCCCTGCAGAGCCCCTCAGACAGCACCAGGGCCTCCTTTACCTGGGTCTCGTTGAAGTCCTTCACTCCCACACAATACACCGTCGCTCCCAGGTCCCGCGACCGATTAGCCTGGAACGAGGAAAGGCAGGAGGACACGGATGAGATGGGATGGGGTGCTGGTGCCTGAAAGGTCTTAATCATAAATTTAGGCTTTCTCTGTATAAATGGGCAGCTTGTCAATGAAGAGTTTTAAAAGCTTTCCTCCCTGATTCTGTGAATTCGGGTTTTACCTGTTTCTAGAGTAGCTACTGTTTACTAAAGCACATCCCAAGGTATCTGGTAGTTTTTTTTAAACCTAGTTAGTTCACCTCTTGAGTGACTTCAGCTTCCCAAAAGATGTCAGACAGACTAAATCAATTTTCTTTTCATCATTTAGGGCACGTCCCAGTACAACAGTAACCTTAAAATGCGTCGGTGTTTTCTGTTTCAGATGTGTGTGCCTGGACTTATGATATTTACAGGTGAGAGACATTTCATTCCATCTGCTACAAAACTGTGTCACTCCCACTGCTTCCACAGCATCCTGAACTAAAGGGGGGGACATGCACAGGTTTGATTTTTTCAGGCTATTTTATTGAAGTTGCACTTGATGTTCAAAAAGCAAATGCTCTGAATGCATAAGTACAATTTAAGTCATTAGAACAAGAACACCTGACCTGACCAAAACCCCTTCCCAGAACAGATGGCAGCAAGTCAGATTGTATCAGAAGACTGTAGCAATTCCAGTTGTTCAACAGCAAAGTGCTTTAGCAGAAAAGCCTCATTCCAGTTTCACACTGGGAAGCTTCAACCCAAACAACTGCAGCAACTCCCAGTGTAAGAGCCGAGTTCAGGATCTCCTTCCACCAGCTCTTGACTGCTCCTCCCCAAACCAAAACAAACTGAGCACTTCTGACCTTTCAACTTGTTCATTCACCTCTAAAAACAAACTTGCTTTTCTTGTGGGTATTTTATTTCAAAATGGGAGGGAAGGAGGAGAAGAGCGAGGAGGGGAGTTGCAGATCCAGGGCGCTTGTTTGTGCTGTAGCAGTGTTGGTTTTACTCTACAAAACTTTTCCTTTTGTTGTTGTTGGATTTAAAGCTGCACTCTGGACAGACTGGGAGGAAAAAAATCTGCCCATAACAAACTCATGCAAAAACACCATCTTCCAAGTTTAGGTCATCCTAATTTGCTTGAGTGACAAGTGCAAATTGGTTCATCTCTTCAGAGAGGACTGTCCAAAGGGCAGCAAGGTTTTCAACGCTCACCCTCCTGTTTAGCTAACATCTTGCATAGTTCACTGATTTAATGAGGATGTTGAGAATATGTCTGTGGAAATTTTGGATTTGATCATCTGAGGGGTTTTCTGATGTCACAGAAGTTCATGGGAACAACAGCCACCCCTCCTTCTGCAGCCTTTACTCTTTGTGAGAGAAGAAAAGCGAAAGTGAGAAGATTCAGGTATTTCCCAGAGCAATCCAGTCAAATCCTGAAACTTCTCAGCTGTGAACTATCCCTTCCTCCAGTGTTTATTTTTAACTGGAAGTTCAAACCCCTGCCCTTTCCCATGAAGAGTCTCAGCTGCGATGAGTCAGAAGCGTTGCTGCTGTTAATGGTTGTCCTTCATGTCTGAAGAGCACCAAAGTGGAGGTTTTTCACCAGGGAAAAAGCTTTTCCCTTGTCTTTTGCCTTCGAAGCAGCAAGCCCAGGCATCTCCCTGCCTCCCTGATGTGTGAGACACTCACCTCCCTCTCGGAGTAGAAGAACAGGTCTTCGTGGAGCTCTCCGTCTGTCAGTGCGATGATGACACTGGCGGTTCTGTAACCTGAACACACAAACTTCTTTAGGGTTTGCTTGTGATTGTTAAACCACCCTGGAAAACAGCCTGATAGAGGCCTGTTAGCACCCCAGCAACTGCCAAGCTCGTGGCCTTTCCTCCCTCCAGCCAACCGGTTCTCAGAAGACATAAATTTCTTCAGTTTCTCAAGCACCTGCCTTCAATCTCAGTTTTATATCCCACTCTTTTGATGTGCCAATGGTTTAAATTGACAGCCCCTCAATATTTCAGTTATTCAGACCTGCAGCCATCAAAAAAAAAAAATGCAATTTGTTCCTAGTTAGTTCTTGATTTTATTAATGCGACGTACATATATTGTATAAAATAATTGTATTAATTTTATCAATTCAAGAAATCCATGGGTTTTTTTTTTTCAGCTTGTGATGAAAAGCTCAATTGGGATCTAAACAGAGATGGTAGGAGATGGCCTAAAATCTTCAGCATTTCAGCAATATCATTAAACCTTGCAGCCATCCCTTCCAAACAGGCAACTTCTTCAAGTGCTGCAGAGGCTGATACCCACAGTTTCTTAGTGCTATTTAGAAATCCCCAATTTCCAACAGTGATGCAACAAGAAGGTCAAGCAATGAGCAACACGTGGGGTTATTCCCCTTGCAGATAAACCCTCCTTGTAGAGGAGCAAGGACAAACTCAGAGCTGTTCAAACACAGCCCAGCATTCAGGCTGATGTCCCCAGCTGTCCACGGGGTGGGAACCAGTTCCCATGGGATACAATCACCAGCATCACCAACACATCACCAATCCCAAACTGAGCTGTTCCAGCTATTCCATTTTCCTGCAGGGATATTTTACAGGTGAGTCCCAAAGCTGTGTGGATTTAACCACGACTTCCTGAGTAGCCCTGGGAGACCATTAGGCCTGGCTTTTGTACTCAAACATCTGGTTGTCTGTCCTTTGGTTCCTGAAGCAATATTTATATTCACACTTCAAGCTTTGCAGTGCAGAAAGGTTTTACATTAATTACAGGGAAGGACAAACATTTTTGCAATTGTCTGCAATTACTGCTGGTTTTAATAATTGCTTATAAAAAAGTCTTTTATTGAACAGCTTCTCCACATTCTTATGTTTGAGAAGGAAGAAGAAATGGCTGTCTGAGTCCTCAAGCAAAAGGAACAAAGACAGTTTTGGTTAGAGGGGGCACTTCAGCCAGCCTGGCTTCTCACTTTTGGCCTGAAACACTTTCATTCCAGCTCTGGCTCCTTAGAGCTCTCCCAGTTCTTTGCCCCTTTCAGGAACACTACCCTGACCAGCACTGCATTCCTGTAAGAGCAGCAGCCACCCCCACCCTTCCCACATTTCAGATCTGGTAAAGTTATCAGTCAAAAAAAAAGAGAGAAAAAAAAAAAATTGGATGGATCAAGAAAAGCCTCTCACCGTGAACATTCTCGTAGTAAATCTGTTCACTTGCCTGAAATTAAATCAGAAAGTTATTAGTAATAAATCAATAGTAACACTTTGTGGGCAGAAAGAAGGGCAAGATGGCAGTGGGGCCTTGCAGTTCACACATGAGCTCTGCTCTCAGACATCTGAACCCTTCCCAGAACAGGGTTCTTGCCTGTGGCTTTGTGTTACTTCAAGGTCTTATCAAAGCACAACTCAGTGAAACCAGCCCTGAGGCCAACACTAACCTTGTCTCCCCCCATTCTGCTCTCTGAAAATCCCATTCACCTTCCTCCCTGAGAAACATCCCAGGCCCAATAATAAATATTCCCCAGCACCTCCAGATCAGCTACTCCAACTGCAAACAAGCCCGAGGCTCTGTCAGGTCTCCTGAATTCCTGCTGCGTGCTCACATTTCAATGTGAACAATGACAGTTCAGCTTTTTCAACAGGCAAATGTTGAAAGCCCTCCCAAATACATCTGTAGGTCAGAAGTGGAGGCAGTGCAGGAGTTCAGGTTTAGAAAGCTTGTAAAATATATTAAAAAATCTATCCAGAAGGAGGTCAGAGCAGGCAGTAAAGTCTGCACAGCATTATTTGGCCACCAGTGAGAACAGGTTGGAGCCATGGCCTCAGCCCCCACCCCAACTCTAGCAGGGCCATTACAGGCAGGATTGACAGCTTCCCACCCTTCAGGAACACGTGGAATTGTAAATGCCAAAGCCTTCTGCCTCGTCCTAAGCTGCAAAGGCAGCTCCCCCATGAAAGCTGAAGGCAGGGATAAAGATAGCTGGTAGAGTTGGCATCTCCTGTGTCCCACTCCAGCGCTGACCACTCACACCTCGCTGCACCACCAAGTGTCCCATGCGCCCACCAGTGAGTTCTTAGCCAGATTCCCCTGTTCCCATCTCCTGAGGGGCAGCAGACCCAGCTGGAGGCCCCCCAGCCTGCTCTCAGTTACCCTTTCGAATCCCTCGTGCATGTACGTGTCACCACCCGGCAGCACCTTCTGCAGCTCCTCCAGGCCCTGGCGAATCTGCTCCCTGTGAGGAAGGCAGACACTGTCAGAGCCAAGATCCAGTTCCTGGGGGGCTGATACCCAGGTGAAGACATGCATGGCAGAGCCAAATACAGAGAGGAGGGAAAAAGGAGTTAACCCAATGTTAAATAGGTCAAGGCTGGGTAGATACCTCTCCAAGGATGTGGGAAGCAGGGTAGTTGTGCTCCCAGTGTTCCCACAGCCTCCTCAATATCCATACATTTCATACATTCCTTCCTCAATAAATGCTCCCTGGTCAAACTCAGCAGCTGACTCACCTGGCTCACCTTCCTCACTGTGTTTGCTGACTTGACTAAACAAACAGAGTCAAACATTTGGTTTATTTGGACATCACACCTTCAGTTGCTGTTCAAACTGACTTGAAGATTGAAGCCTTTCCCGATGGCTCATTGTGATTCAGGGGATCTGTTTTAATTCCTTTCAGGAATCCCAGGCACAGTGAGATCATGTGCTGTTCCCCTGAGGGGCAGGCACCAAACTCTGGGAGCCAAGCACGGGCCAGAAGTCTTCAACACAAGATAAAACCCCGCAGTGTGTGGGGTGGATCTGAGCAAACTCCACAATCTTCATGGGAAAGGGATGAAGTCACTGCAGGCAGGACCACGTGGACATGCCAGAAGTCGGTTTTGTCCCTGCATTTTTAACTGCTTCAGAAACCCCAGTCCGTGTGATCACCCCCTCTGCAGCTCCCTGGTGAGGCTGATTGCAGCAGGGCAGCAACACTGGCCAGTCAGCACAGCAGTGACTCCCTCAGGGAGAATAAAAAACACTGTCTGCTTTTGCAAGAGGCTGAATTGTCCAACTGCCAAGAACTCATCCTGTACCTGAGATTCCCAAAGCAGTTAGACACGAGTTGGACTCTGCCATAGGTGTCTAGTGGAAGATGTTTCCTCCTCTCAGCTGCCCATTCACACACCAAGCCAAAGCTGAACAGGAAAATGGAGCATTTCCTGTGATCACCATTTTTCAAAGGTGAACACTGACATTTTAAAATACATACCACAGGTCAGTCCAGTCCCAGCAAAGGCACAAAGTTCTTCCAAAAAGGGATGCTCAGCACCCTCAATCTTCACATTCAGAGGCTGATACACCACACAGAGGGGCAGACATGGCAGAGGAGGTTTTCCCACCACTCCACCTTCCCCATTTAGAAAGGCCAGTGGGAACTAAAGGACCAACACCCTGTTTGTCTGTCCCCCACTAAAAACCAGCAGCCCTGCAGTCAGCTGGCTTTCAGACTAATACCATACCAATATCCTGTTCCCAGTCAACATTTCTAGGGCAGCTGGATGAATATGGAATACATTTCCACACGGGAAACACTTCAGTCTCTCAGTTCAGAGCCTTAGCAGATGAGGTGTCTCTGCAGTGGGGTGTGTTCATGGGGTGGGACACAGCAAGGGGCAGGGAATAGGCTCTCCACTGGCACCCAGTTAAATCAGGTTTATTCTCTTTGTCCTGATTGCTGCAGTGAGTGGCAAGGAAGGGCTGCTTAGGCTGGCTGGGGTTAATGGCATTTTCAAGGCTGGAGTGTGTGTGGACTGCTCTGTAGGAAGGCAGCCAGTTTCCTCCCCAGTCCTCCACAGGAGCTGCTCTGGTATGTGATTCCAGACATCCAATATGTAAAACACATGCTGACTTATACAGCCTACACATGTGCTACATATATTTCTGCTCCACGTGGCAATGAAGTGAACAGAGGAAGCGAGAGCGATTTAAGGACCTCGTCCAACTCCCCTTGAAGTCAGAGCAAAATAAAAAAAAAATCCATCCCACAGGTTTTACTGGGATTAACTTGGGGATCTACAAAGGGGTGACAGGAACACGCTTCAGAAACATGGCAATCAAACTGCCACTGCCAAGAAATACAGCCCCTTGCAACCCATCCCAAACACTGCTTGTCTGTAATATCCCTTCAGGTCTCTGAGGAAATCACATTCCCCTCCACCTCCAGAGTGTGGGAGTCACCTCTGCCTTTCAGGCCTGTTTTTATGGGAAGGGAGTTTCACCTATTTGTTTGCAGAAGAAACTCCCAAAGGATGTTTCACGGGCAACAAGCCTCTTGTTCTCCAAAAAAAACCCCGAGTCTCTGTGGAATTCAGCTCCCTCAATGAAACCAGTCTGAGCTAAAACCCCAACAGCTGACAGAAAAGGCATTTAAAAGTTAAATTTAAGAAGCCAACCTCGGCCTTGAGAGCCCTCAATGCATTCTAGGACATGAAAATGGGCAGGTTGTTCAAACAATTAAATTGAGAAGCACAAAGGTCTCACAGCTCCGCTCACGGTGGACTGGGAACTGCTGAGCAAGGAAGGTGAAGGGACACAAAAAGGTGAACCCTTAAACCTCTTCTTACCTGTCTTCTGTTAACCTCATTAGAATTGTCCCTCTGGTTGAAAAAACAATGAAGGACATCCTCAGCTGAGGGCTGGGGGAGAGAAGAGAAGTCCAATTATTTTTGGTCCAGAGGGTCCTGTGGGTGTAACCCCAAGCACACTCTGCTCTCCCAGTTATAACTCAACAGGGGCACAGACAGGAGGAGGCAGCACAAGGTGTTTTTCCCTGGGCCTTCCCAGTCAAGGGGAATCCCTGTGAAGAGCCCTTGCATCACAGCCTTGGGATTGCTGGAGCAAGAAAGGCTTAAACACATCCTGGAATCCTCATGGAGAGCAGGGAAGGCTCGTTGTGTTGATGCCAACACATTCTGTGTCCTGAGGGACTCACCCTGCACTCTCAAGTCATCCAGAGCCTGGAAGCTCCAGCCACAGGCCCCTCCCTGCGTGTCCCACAGGAGGATTCCTTCCCCACAGGAATAAGATTCGATCCAGGCAGGTGGGAATAAAGGGGACAATCAGCTTATCTCCTCCTATTTCCCCGGAAATCTGGGGAAAAGCAGCCACTGGGATGATCTGAGGAAAGCATTAAAGACCCCCACCCTCCTCCACCACAGCCCCCAGTGGAGAGCAGCTGAGCTGAACTGGGAGCCACTGGTCCCATCCCGGCCCTGCAGCAACTCTCACCTGATGAACTTGCGGGCCAAGTGCTCCACGAAGTGATAGATCTCATTCCAGTGGTGCAGGACACTGCCTGACCTGGGGAGACAATGGTTGCAGGACAGGTTAGTTTGATCGCTGCTATTGCAGCTTTCCCAGCCCCGTGTCCTGTCACACCTTGCTCAGCCAAGCATTTGCCCTCGTTTTGTTTACCACTCGCTGCCCATATTCTTCCTATAAGGGGGAGATTAAACTGTAAATGACATTTCCTACTTGACTTTGAAAAGCAAGAATAATTCCCATTCCATGCAAGTGTTTGAGGCCACCCCTGGCAACAACACATGGCAGTTAGGCTGGACCTTCACACAGCCTGAACCAAATAAACCCTGTGTGAGTGAAGAGCTTCTCTCTGAAGTGTTTTAGATGAATTCCACCCACTCACTTCCAACCCATTACACAGAGCTTTCAGCTCAAGTGTGTTCTGAGAATAACACAAAGCTGGAGGAACAGATTATTGAACTTCTCTTGTGCTTCCACTGTGCCAGAGACTGTGAAAAGCAGAACACCTCAGTCCACGTCTCAACTGTTCTGGTTAATTCTTTCACACCTCAGTTAAAGACAAAACAAACTAATTTTGCTCCTCGAGAGGATAAACTATGGGCTATAATGGGATTGGATTATTCTTCTTTATGTTGTAAGAACCAGGAAAAATTAGGTTAATCAGAATCTTTCAGCACTAAATGCCCCTTCTGGCATAAACACTTCCATGAACACTGGAATATTAATATTGGAAAAAAAAAATTCCTTCCTAGAGCTGGAAAATAAAAGTGTCATCACTTACTTAATTCATTGACTACAATTAGAAATATTTATAGGGGAAATAACCATTCCAGCCTTAACAGAAACCTCATTGATCTGCAGCCTGAGGAAGAAAAGATGAGGGTTTTTCACTTCACAGGAAGAAAAGGCACCTGCCCTGCCCTGTCCTACCTCAGACCTGAGAGAGCAGATGCAGAGCCAGGAATGGGTTCATCAAAGAGGACTAAAATAGCAAAGCTCTTGATAAACTATTTAAACCACAGACAGTGGGAAAATTGGTGTCATAGCAGATGAAGGGTGAGGTACATCAGGAGCTGCTCTCAAACAAGGAACTTCCACTGCATCCAAACTGCAAACTGATAGAGCAGAGAGAGACAAACAAATCCCAACCCCAGGAGCAAACTGCCCTGGGATCTATGGAATAGCTCTGAGACCCTGAATACAACAGACACTCCAGTCCCAGCAATGCCAAATAGCACAAATAATTTCCTAGAGCTGGCTTGGAAAATCAGTATTGTCTTTACTTTGACTTCAAAGCAAGGGTCACATCAGTCCACAGAGGGCATGTGAAGCCAAGGCTTTGTTAACCACAAACACAGTCCTTACCTCAGTGAATTGTATCTTGTCTAGGCCAGGCACCCACCTCTCAAAAAACAACCCTCAGTGAAGTATCACACATCTCCTGAACCATCAGACATCTGAAGCTGGGACCTTTCCACAGGCAGCCCCTCCCCAACCTTCTCCAGCCATCAGGTGAGACAGCTGCCTCCTATGAAGGGAAAACACTGCCAGGTCATGCCCTGGAGGCTTCAAAAGATGAGTTGTTTCCTCCTCTCTGAACAGAAGTTGATCATCCCCATTGCAGCTGGGAAGGGGATGCAGCCACAGAGCATCCAGGTCACCCCAGCAAACCCCTGGCACTTCCCATGGCTCTGGAGTCGTGCATTTTGGGAAAGAGCCTTTGCCAGAGTAAAGCTTCAAACCCAGACCTGAACCCCAGCTCAGGGATGTGCCAGTCAGGAAGGGCACAGCACGTCCTGGTGGAGTCTTTGCCTTTGCAGCTCCTGCTCTGCTGCTCTTGTTACCTGGGCAGGTTTTGCAGGTGAGCAGTGCTTTTTAACTCCTCACAAGTACAGCTTGAGCTGCTGCTGCACCTCCTTCCCTCCACCATCCTCACTCTGCTGCCCCACCAGCAGTCCCATCTTTATGCCCTCTGAAACACAAGTTATGGATATTTTTTCCATGAAACCTCATCTGTCAACACATGCAAGGAACAACCCGAACCTCAGGAGCAGCATAATGTTAAACACCCACTTGAAGAAATCTTCTTCCCACTGCAGCAATCATAAACCCAAACCCTCCAAGGGCACCGGACTGGGGCAGCTGGAACAGTCTGCAATCCATTTATTCCTCAGCTCTACCAGAGCAGGTTGTAACAGGGTCCCACAAGGAAGGCTCACACTTCTGCTGACACCCAGCAAAAGACACTTGTCACCTGTAAAGCCTCTCGTGAGGGAGGCCAAGGGCCCTGGGTAGGACAAGTATTTCCAAAGCCAACTGGAAGATAAGAAGTGCCAGATTTAAAATAGTTGTCTCTTCATACTCCCCAAAGAAACAAGATGTCATTTGACATGATTGATGCAATAAACTTGCAGTTTAGGAAAAGGCTCGTGGTGAGGAGGCCAAATTCTCTCCTGGAGGAGAGCCCAATAAATGGAAGTTAAGCCTAAGTAAACCATTCTCTTTAAGAGGAGAATGATACATTCTGTGGTCAGCTGTGCTGGCATTTTGTACATCTAAACTGAACTCAAGTGTTGAGAGAGACTCTCCACAGGGCTCTGTGGTCCCAGCCAGCAGAGCCACGCTCTGGTCAAAGCCCTGCCCTCCAGCAGGTGCTCTCCTCCTGCTCCCTGGGACCAGATGCACCAGAGCCCAAAGCTGCAGCAGCTCAAACCTCTTTGGAGTTTGTCTTTTGTGCACTTTTTAGATTCCTTTTTTCCATCTCTGCCACTGCACCTCCTCAGAATTCCCTCGTGGGTTTGTTCAGTTCCCAAACCAGAAGAATCACAGAAACCAAACACAAACCAAGACCTCACATGAGTTACGTGCTCTGCAGCTGACAGAAGGACAGAAAGACACCTGGCTCAGAGGCTGATGTTGCCCAAAATCTCCTTAAACTTCTTTGGTTTTGGACCAACTCCAAGAACTCTGGTGGCTCTCAGAGGTGGCATCTACCTAAGAAGCTGTGCAGCATCTGCCCACTGAGCTCTTTAAAAACAACACAAGCGGGCCAAAAAGTGTCCTTTGTCTTCCCCAAAAAATCAGGAGGAATTTTGAAAACCCTGCACAGCACAGAGACCTTGGAGAGGTGATGCAATTCTTTGAGGAAACACTGTTATCTTGTGCCACACTTCACACGAGACAGTTCACCAGAGACGCTGCCAAACTCCTGAGCTCACGGGGGCTTTGGAGATCCAGTTCAGAGCAGGACAAGCCTCTAAACCCAGTCACAGTCCAAGAACATTCTTCTCTTCCTGGCTGGCAGGGGATATGCAAAAACCCAACTAATAAACAAGTAACCATGGACTTAATTTACATCAAGCAGTAGATGAAGTGCAGAGTGTGCAGGCACACACTTAATCCTGGCTGGAATTGTTACCTCAGATGCTCCACTGGGTAAAAAAGCACGTCCACAGGTCCTGACTGGCAGGGATTTCACACATGAACTCTGTTCATTCATCTGCCAGCCCTCAGCAGACTTAGGAGTTAATGACATTCCTTCAGGCAACAAGCAAGAAGACACAAGAATGCACAGATTCCTCCACCCTGCCTTGCTGGCTCCCTCAGCCCTCATGGTAACACAGGGAAGAACCATCCTTCCACATCCTTGAGCCCTGCCATCCAGAAATCATGCATCCATTGCTCTGGATTCAGGACTGGGATCCTGGAAAAACAATGAGGGAATCACTGACCGGCTCAGCGAAGATCAGGGATGGTTTTCAATCTGCTGCCCAGAGAGGTTGTGGACTCCCCGTCCCTGGAAGTGTCCAAGGCCAGGCTGGATGAGGCTTGGAGCAACCTGGGCTGGTGGAAGGTGTCCCTGCCCATGGGATGAGCTTTAAGGTCCCTCCCAACCAAACCATTCTGTGATTCCACTCAATTCCACCATTCCCTCCTAAATGGAACATGTTTGTTCCACAAGAGCAGGCACAACGTGCAGCAGCTCTGGGAGGTGCTGTGCTGGCTCTGCTGGAGGGTTCACATTTCCCAGGGGAAGGAGCAGCTCCTGGAGGTTGGGCTCCCTGCCTGGTGTCTGTCTGCCTGTTTCCACCCCCCTATGGCCCCTTCATCTTCCACTCTGAGTGCAAACCTGGACCTGGTGCCACTGAGGTCACAGTAACTACAGCTGCTTGAGCTTCATTCAAAGAAACAACCAGCAGCCTCTCCAGAGCAGCAGTTTCACTGCAATTCAACCCATTAAAAATGGATCCCCTGCCTGGCTGGATAACAAAGGGATCACAGGGATCACCTGCTCCATTTTGCCAGGGATCTCTTGGAGCCAAGCTTTCCCTCACACTCTTACAGTTCCCTCTGGGGGTAAATTCCCCATTATTTGCACAGGAAATAATCCCTGTGACACACAGAGGCGACAGCAAAGGGTTACTGAGAAGAGACTCAGTTGTCATCCCTTCCTCCCTGCCTGCAAGGGAATTAATCTGGGAGCTGCCTCTACACGTCCCAGCTGTGCTTGTGCAGGGTTTCCACACACCAGCACTGGGTACCACGTCAATTAGGGGGTGGACACAGTCACCCTTAATTAGTCACATGGAGGGTATTTTTAGAATAACTGGACAACATCAGCAAAAACAAATGTTTGTTCTTTTAGCTGCATCTCACTGCTTCCTCATTCTTCCTCCTTAATGAAGGGCCTGTGTCTTAGCTCACATCTGGCTGTAAATTCTTTGGCACCAACTGCTGCCCAGCCAATCCCTGAACCCCCTCAGCACCACAGTCACACAAGAGGACAGCCCTTCTTTGTTCAGCTCTCTCAACATAAGCCAGGTCCACCTTCCACAGCACTGGGCTCCTCTTGGCATCACCTGCACTTTGAGGTATGACTTGATCCTGCATGGAACCTAAAGAGCAGATAGCACACAAGTGTGCTCTAAAGAGCAAACAGCTTGAGATTAAACTGAGAAAACAGCCACAGTTTGAGATTTTTGCAATCAAAGGACAAGAGAAATGGATTAATCCAGCTGAAGTTCATGTGAATACAGTTCCTCCAGGTCAGAATTCTGAGTTAGGTGTTGGTGTGTGTGTAACAGGATTTTTGACCTGTGGAGTTTGTTGCATGTCAGGCAGCTGGGGAGAGCTGGCAAACTGTGCTTTCCTCCAGAGCTGGAGCACTGCACCCACAGCAGCGTGACAGCTTCAGTTTTACTTGGCAAGGAGCTGGCCCAACCCAAATTGCCATTCTCAGGGGAGCCTGCATCACTTCTGGAACATGGAATCACGGAATCACAGACTGGTTTGGGTTGGAAGGACCTGAAAGCCCATCCAGTCCCATCCCCTGCCTTGGGCAGGGACACCTTCCACTAGACCCACCTCCAAGCCCCGTCCAACCTGGCCTTGGACACTCCCAGGGATCCAGGAGCAGCCACAGCTTCTCTGGGCAACCTGTGCCAGGGCCTCCCCACCCTCACAGGGAAGGATTTCTTTCTAACATCTAATCTAAACCCGCCCTCTGACAGTTTAATACCATTCCCTCTTGTCCTGTCACTCTCTGCTGCATAAAAAGTCCCTCTCCCTCCTATTTACAAGCCCCCTTAGGCCCTGCAAGGGGCTCTCAGCTCTCCCTGGATCCTTCCTTTCTCCAGGTGAACCCCCCCAGCTGTCCCAGCCTGGCTCCAGAGCAGAGGGGCTCCAGCCCTGGCAGCAGCTCCGTGGGCTCCTCTGGACTGTCTCCAGCAGCTCCAAGTCTTTAGCACAGCTCTGGCAGCCTGAGGTGCAGAGTGACAGCACAAGAGGCCTCTGCTGCTGCCTCAGGAGTGTGAGAGCCCTGGGAGTGATCAGAGGCACGCACAGAGATGAGGGTGTTGGACCCAGTGAGGGTTTTGTTCTGGTATGGGCAGGTTGAGGCTGTGCCCATCAGTCCTGGGGGGCTGAGTCCTCATTTTCTTCCCCCTCCCGGAGCTCTGCTGCAGGTCCTGTGAGCGTGCCACGTGCAGGGAGTTGTGTCTCCAGGCACCTGCAGGAGACCAGGTTTGCCTTCAGGAGCTCACTCAGCAGCCTTGCAGGAGGAGTCTGCTGAGGAGAACCTTGCAGGCAGCTGGTTCATCACTCCAGGAGAGCAGCCTGGGTCATGTGGTCACTCTTGAAGGGGTTTCTTGTGGCCAGCACTGGGATTGAGGGCCAGCTGGGACCAGGGCTGGGTCCAGTGCTGAGCCTGGCACGTGTCCCACCAGCTGCTTCCCACACTGGAGGGCACTGGAGGGACTCAAGGAGTCACTAAATCCACCCAGGCACAGGAGCTCCTGCACCAGTGGCTTCCAGCCTGTGTTTGTTGTTCTTGTGTCACTCCTTTCATCCCAGAAAGGAGGTTGTTTAATATTTTCGTGGCTTCCTTCCACCAGGGAAATTGCATTTCAGGCTTAAGGGTCTAAATCTCTTCTGCTTCAGAGTCCTTTATCACTTTCAGTAGTGTGTAATCATTTCTAGACCTGTTTCAGAGAAAACCAGTGAGTCCTGAATCCTTTCTTATCACTTCATCCTTTGCCTGAAGGCCTCTATAGGCATCACCTCTCCCTGCATTCAGCACTTCAGCAGAGTTCTGGAAAACATTCTCTACATAAGCAGAAGGTAGAAAATCCAGGCTAAATAAGCCTCAGCCCTTTTGGAAATTCAGCTTGGCCTCTGAGAAATGAATTGCCTGTGGGAGGTGGAACCAGAGGATCTTTGAGGACCCTTCCAACTCAAACCATTCCATGAGCCCGTGCAAGTTTTGAAGACAAAGGACGTGGGATAACTGACCTCTCATCAGAGGTTAAACAACCAGGTCCATGGCACAGCTGAAACACCCCAGCACTCCTCCAGATCCCACTGCACACCAAGGGAATTTTTACAGCAGATCTGGTGCATTTCTGCACCAGAAAAATCCAAGCAACAGGAATCCTGCAGCTGTCCAAGCAGGGTTTCTGCTGGA